ACTTAATATTATTAAAGGTAAAAAACAAAATTGAAACTTATTAGATAAATATTAATTAAAAATTATAACCAAAAATTAAAAACTTAAAATGGATAAATTTGTCAATAAAATTAAAAAATTATAATATGTTAGTGATTTGGTACAGAAAGTTATATAAATTAGTTTTTTCAATTCGTTAACAATTTGGATTTTAACCGCTATCACTAGTCTTAAATTGCTAAATAAAAATTTTTACCAAATACTTTATTTGTAACAATTTCGAAATATATAAGTTACCAAACACTTATTCTTAACAGTTTAAGCAAAATCACTAACCGTTATCTCAAAATTATTATACCAAATAAACCTTAAAGATGACCTAATTAACTGGTTTCTACATTGTGTGTCGTTAAGATATTTGTGAACATTCCATCTCCAACCCCATAAATCTTGCAAGGATGTTGAAACTTGGGGGTTAAATATCAATTTTAGTCTCTTAATTTTAAAATTTTGCATAATTTTTAGTTTTCAACTTTTTTTTGTTTTTTAATTATGAAAAATTTATTATTTTAGTTCTTTTGCCAATTAATCTATTAAATTTATGTAAATATGCATATTTTTAATCAATTAACTTATAGTATATATATTTTTGTCTTTCAACTTAAAAGTTTAAAGACTAAAAATGTATATATTTAGATAGATTTAATAAATTAATTGACAAAAAACTAAAAAAATATATTTTTTATAGTTAATGAACTAAAACAATACATAAAAGATTAAAAGACAAAGATTGTACAAAACCCTAAAATTAAGAGACTAAAATTAACATTTAACTAAACTTGAAATATAGGGTTCATTGGACGATGGTTTAAGTTCCAACCCAAACGTGGCTCGTAGGATGGCATTGCTTACAACGAAAATTATGCCATTCATTAAATATACCATACAAGAATAAAGCAGAATGTGCCATGGGTGGTGTTACTGCTATATATTAGTGTCATCCTTTTTTATCTTTAATTCACCATTATATTTTTAAATTTATTTAAGAAAAAATATGCAGAGTTGTTTTTTTTTTAAGTGTAGTATAAAGGTATAATAATCAGTTAAGTTAAAATTTTTTTTTTGTAATAATCCTATTATTTTTATTTGAAACACATGTTAAAAATGTAATTAAAGTACTTTTTATCTTAATTTATATAAAAAATAGAAACATTACAATAATTTTACTACTAATATCATGTAAATTATTTTAATTAAACAACTACTTAAGTAAAAGTTAATTTTTACTTTTTCACTAGCAATTAATGTAAAAGACATATTAATTACACCCATTCGATCTGTACCCTTATAGCAGCGATTGAGAAAAACCCAACTTGTTTAATTTACAGTATTAATTCACCGACTCTAACCAAGATAGGAAGGATCAAAATTTTGATTGGTCAATTTAGAGGCAATTTTGGGGATGAGACTTTAGCAGGTTTTGCATGTGCGCCTTGATTTTCCCTAATTGATGAGGAGGGAAGCTGAGACATGAAATGGAGGAGGCATGATTTTGGTGGGTCAAAACTAAGAGGCCTTGATCAAAGGCAAAGAGGAGGAACTTAAAGTTCCTAACCAAGAAATGAACTAGGAGTGAGAGTGCCGTGGAGTCATGGGAGAAAAAAGAGAGTGAGGATGGTGAAGAGTAAGATGATTGGGAGGAGAGAACGGAGCCTGAGAATGCCATTGGGGATCTTTGAAGCAATCGAGAATTCCCCTTCATCGCTCGTTGATTCAAAGTTGAAAATGGTTTCTTTCTAATTTGAGAAGGGGGAAAAATATGCAGATACATTAGTAACTTGGGATGAAATGGGAATCTTGACAGGTATACTTGCCGCTTTGGTTAAGTATTGTTGTAAGACATGGAAAACACAAGAGCAGAAGCTTTACTTTAAAAACCATAAAATTGCTCACCATTTTTAAACAATCATAGTAATACGGAAAGCAAGGCAACTATCTATTCATTGAGCCAACCTGCAGAGTGGTTATGGGGAAACGATTGGTATGGACCAGGAGGATAGCCCATTGAGTTATCTCTGTATCCAGGCTGGGGTGGTCTGGAAGTGTAGAAGCTATTTCCACTCACCATTGGAGGTTCAGAACCCAGTGTACCAATCCTTGTTGGGTTCAGCTCGTCCAGACGAGGTGCATATTGCTGCATTGCTGATGTGTTTGTCAAGAAAGACGAATCAGCTAGACAACCAAAGCGCCCATAAGTAGATGACAGGGACCCAATCTGGCTATATCCACGATTACCTGCCTGATAATTTGCTTGAGTAGATGAAACAGGGTGTTGCCCATATAGGTGAACCTGTGACTGTAGGGTAGAATCCCTCTGGCTCTCAGGATCAATCGTATATGATGCGTAGCCAATGCTGTCTGCACCACCTCTCATGTGTTGGGTTTTGTTCCCCATAGTTCATGTCTGCAGAAATTCTTCGGTTCCAACTTAACTAGGCTCATTGTACGCACTGTATCTTGCACATGAATATGTTGAATTGTTTGAAATGAAGAAAGCCCACATCTTAGAAGAATGAGAAAATAAATAGATTCATACATGTTTACCTTCTTTCTATAACTATTTATAGAAAATTAAAACTCAGGGCCTATGGATTTTGAGTTTAGACTTGGCCCTTTTATATTATCATTTATATAGCATTTTGAAGTTTTGACTTGCCAAAAAAAATTATTTTTTAATTAATTTTGAATCTTTATTTTAATTTAATTTTTCAAAATTAAAAAGATATTTAAAAATTAAATATGACTGTTGGCAATTAGAAGACAATTTTTCATATTAGTGTGTTTATATATATAAGAACACATTCTTTTGGTTAGTGTTATCTAAAGAAACATATCCTTACATTTGGTATCCATTCATTCAATCAATACAAAAAATACTTTAATTACGATACTTTTTTTAATAGAAATCGTTATTACATAAGACATTATAAATACTATTTTAATCAAAACTATCGCACTAGACGACATTGCAATAGATAAATTTTTTTTTTTTGTGAGTATAAGTTCTTTTAACATAGCTTATGTTCTATATTTAATTTTAAAAAAAGTTTCTAAATACTGTTATACCTTAAAAGATTTTTAAATTTAAAAAAAAAGTGAAATCATGATTTAAAACTTTCTAATCCCTCTGTTTTAACTTTTAACTTCCAATGCTTCTGTTCTCTACTAATCTTTTTCTAATAGTATCATTAAAGGAGCCCTGAGTCTCAGAATACAATGCTCCGGCCTGCAAATTTGAAACTGGAATGGTTTGTTCAAGATGCCCATAACGATGCTCGCCAACCCCAGTATGTGAAGTCGTTTCAACAGAGATTTGGAGTGTAGACTTTCCAACGAAGATCTACCATCCATTACAACGTGTGTACAAGAGTTAGTTCTCTTATGAAAATTTCTTGTGGATTTGAATCTTTTGCATTTTTAAAAATATTACAAGCAAGTCTATGTCCAAGGAAAAAAGATAAAATATTAAAAGCAGGCTTATAACAAAAAGAAAAAATATTAAAAGCAAAATTAAGGATACATGATAATTTTCTTTAATTCATTTAAATTTAAACTAGAAACCTTTTATTTGAAACAATAAATTCTTAATAATTACATAACTACTTTTACATATAAAACATCAATATATATGTAGCACTCACTTTGCAAAAGTTTATTGCCATGGAGTATTCTATGTAGGCCTTCTCATAAATACCATTTCTCAACCATGGTGCAAACAAGATCCATCTAGAAGTCACCAGCAGAAATCCCAGCACCAGTAGCCTCGAGATTACATTGAGAAACTGCCGTTTTCTCCCTATCAATATCACCTTCTTCTTCTTCATAACTATCTCAACATCCACACAAATCCCATGCATAACAAAGTAACAAGTTGCCTCCCACGTTGGAGGCAGGTGAGTTAGGTGATAGTAAATCAATTCGTGCATTAGACCAGATACGAAGAATGTGACTAAAACTGCTGGCAGAGATGCCCACCTATCTCCAATAATACGCATAGAAGTACGACGTAAAGGATTATATATGGTGTGACGGAGTACATCGGAGCTCATGAGATTCCACCTCCGGCCCCAAAAATCTTGCAAGGAGTTGGCAAGTAAGGGCTCCTTGAATTGAGGCTCTAGTTCAAACCCAAAAAGGAATTTTGGAGGGATTTGAAACACTGCATATAAGCACTGCGTTTCAAAGAGAAAGTGGATGGGAAAAAGGGCAAGAACAATACTTGTATTCAAATGTTTTCCATAGTTGTAAGCCACAAAAAGCATAATTGTAATTGCAACTTTCATGGCCAATATAATTGTTCCAAGAAATGAAGTTTGTGGTTTATCTTGGGGTGGATACCTTTTTATCTTAATGGGGAGAGAAGCTATAAAGATGAAATGAAGAAGTTGTGGTGGGGGTGGGGATAGAGGGCCATAATCAAAGGAGAACAAAAGGAGCTTAAAGTTGGCATACCAAGAAAGGAAGATGGATGTTGCGAAGATATAACTATAAGAGGAGAGATTCAGGGGGAGGAAAAGGAAGAGAGAAATAACAGGGAGGAGGGAGAGGAGCCTTAGAAAGCCTTTTGGGATCTTTGCTGCAATGTAATAAGAGTAGCATAGAGATGTAATGGCCAAAACCCACACCTTAACAAAGCTCTTTAGCTCCTCCTCCATAACTTTCAAAAATCCTTTGTATCCTTTTTTTCTCCCTTTTCTCATTAGACTTAATGCACACACATGTATATATATACATATATATATATATATATATATAGTTTTAGAAGATAGGAAAAACTTGGTTTTTTTAGTGTATAATTTAAAATAAATAAATAAATAAAGGGAAAAAAGTCCTAAATAAAAAAACAAAAATTCCTAAAGCACGAAGCATGAGCATTAAAAAGTAAATATCATTAATAACATATTCTTTGATTCTTTCTATAATTTATACCTTTTAATCTTTTTAAATTCTTTTTTTCTTTTTATGTTAGTTGCACAACAGGAGGCAACCATTTTTTATCCATTATCCAACCAATATGTTATGCGATTCGAATTCATGATCTTTTACTTCCAGTGAAAAGAGATAATTACTAAATTATTTAGATCATTGCTAATCTCTTTTAAATTCTAATTTATTGAAATTCTGATTTAGAGGCATGTGTTTACACTAATACGGAGACATGTTGCTTTTTAGATATAATAAATGTAATTATACTCTTATTTATAATTTAATTTATTAATGGTAATCACTAACAATTATATTACCAAACAATTGTTAAAGTCGAATAATAAGAGTTATTATATTTTCAATATTAATTATTTGTTATTGACTATTAATTAACGACTATATACCATTAGCTATTAATGCTATTAATTTCAATACAACCACTAAACCCAAACAACTATAAACACCATTCATTTTGTGCGACCTTAGTGGCCACGGTTCTCTTTGATGAGTAAAGTGAGGCATCCCTGGTAATGTGTAATTTGAGTCCAAGGATTCACAGTTTCCCATCCCCTACCTAGGAGCATAAATTAATATTATCAGTGTAATTATTACTTTTGAAAAAAAGCCGATAAACTTTAATTATTAGTAGACTTAAAATCTCGGTGGAAATTTCCAATGACAATTAATAATTTATTCCAACAACTCCCAATCAAATATTTTAAGACAAATTTTTATGTTATTATATTAAAAATATGTTAATAAATTTATAAAATAGATTATAATTTTAATGTATAATCTAAATTATATTACATAAATTCCTTTTCTCAAATACATAATAATAAAGGTTTTTTAGCTAGTTCTTTTAATACACAATAGAGTTTTTTTGGCTAGTACTTTTACTATACAAGTTAAAAATATTTTTTGTTATAAATTTATATAAAAAAATATAAAAATTAATATTAATTTTAATATCACTACCATATAAATAAATTTAATTATATAGTTACTAAATTAAAAATAAATTTTTGCTTTTCAATATTAAGGGTAAAGATTAAAAAATCTATAAAAATAATATATTACTATTTTAAAAAAAAATTATTCTAATAATAATACCTACCCATGTTTGTGTGATTCTTTCGTGTGAACAAAAGTTACAAAACCATATTACAAGTTACAACCAGACAAATTTAAGGGTGTATTTGGGATTATGGTTGAGAATTTTTTCGTGTAACCATACAGCATTTTTAGATATATGTATGTTTGGTAATTTTTTTTCAAATTGTTTTTTTTTAAGTTGCAAAAAGTCACAGCAAATTCACAGTAATTTTATATATAAAATTAGAAAACTTATTTTGAAGCCTTATTTTGGACCTTTATGGTTGTGGTTTTACGAAAAACATTTAATATTTAATAGAATTACAAAATTAGCCATTAAAATTTAATTTCATATAATTAATTACATCATAATTTATAATATTTTAATAATAAAAACAAATTTAAAAAACTTAAATTATTAAAAAATAATAAATATTATATATTTTACAATATTTTTTCAATTTTAATTAATAATTGATAAATTTTATCATATTTCATCCATAATACTTTTAAAAAATAAATAACAAAATACCAAAATAACTTTCAACCATAACTATAGGACAACACACTTACAATCATAGCACTTTACAGTAATTCTAAATGCACCCTAAGATAAGTTTAAGTTTAAGCACATGTAAAATTTTTCTTTTTAAAAAAAAAGGAAAATTAGGACAAAAGAACAGAAAATAAACATATCCTTTTGGGATGAAATACGTTCTGTGTAAATTGAATTTCACAATTGCTCAACACTTTTAGCAGTTGATCTCATGGAATTTAATTTAGAAATGAT